TTATTGAATATGTCCTTTTATGTCATTTATTTATTTATTGAGGCAATTTATTCACTCAAGAGCATAAGTAGTAATTTCTAGCCTACAAACCATCTTTGGGCATCTCTCCGACCTTACATGGATGTCCTTCCAGAAAACCCCCAAAAGTAGGGCCTATGCCCAAGAAAAAGGGTTTTAAATATGACTTGGGCCAGAGACCACCTAATCCTAGTTCAGTCAACCAACATATACTCCTATTGAAGAGCACAATTCACTATATTTATTATTCTTACATGCTCTCATGGACTTTAAAGGCCATAAACCCGAACAGTTATACGGTTCCAGTAAATATGTGAGCAACCTAAATCATAGTTGTTGGAATCAGGATCCCTATGAGTGGGGTTCAAGATCCAAAAAATTTAAAAAACGAGATCCCTAAAAGATCCGTTCCGGGAGCGACAAAATCGAGATCCTAGAAGGGATCGCCTACCAAAGTAGAAGATCCTAGTAACTATTTTTTTTTTTTTGATAAACAAGATCCTAGTAACTATTACCTAAATATTTTCTAGGTTTTGACCAACATAATATAGTAAAGTAACTAACCATGAACCACCAAAACAATACTCAATGTGTGGTCTATATCTTTATAGATAGAGAGCCACAAGTTGCAATCTCTCAGCAATGAATTCTAACTATCAATCTATGCCTTTCAAAGAAAATCAGGGAAAAGGGAAAAAATTAACACCAACTCCCAGTCCAACCAAAAGAATAAGGGGAAATATCCTCGTACCCCCTATGTTTGGTTTTCATATCTCAATAGACCCAAAGATTCAAAAACTATCTCCTACCCCCCTGACTAACTTTACCCACTTTAACTATTTTTTTAGCTCTAACAAATATAAAAAAGATATGTTCATTCTAAACCTTTTCTCTTTACGTGATATATTCCTCCCATATTTCTCTCTCTAACATTCACCCTCTTTCTCTCTCTAATGGGGGAGAGAGAGTGAGAGACACAGGGGGAGAGAGAGTGGGAAAATAGGTAAAGAGAGATTTAGGAGAAAATCACGTGAAGAGAGAAAAAAGATGGTGTTTAGAAATGATGTCTTTCTTATATTTGTTTAGGGCAAAAAAATAGGTTTTAAAGGGATAAAGTTAGCTTAGGGGGCTAAAAGATATAAAACTTAGAATTTTTATGACCCAATATATGTTTTAAAACATTGGGTCTATTGAGGTATAAAACTTAAAAATGGGGGGTATGGAGATATTTTCCCAAAGAAAAATACAAGTGTATAATTCAACCCTTTCTTCAAGGAGTACAAAATTAATCATGATATTTAGATCCTAAGAATCAATCACAACATAAATTAAGAAACCTCAATCCAAAAAATAACATGAAATCAACCAAACCACAGTTGACAGATTTTCTAGCAAGAGAAGAGAGTGCAGAAATTTTACAAGAAAATGAAATACCAAGCAAATTTTCAGATGTAAAGAGTTTGTCAGAAAAAGTCTCAGGATACTTGATCCAAAAACATTCTGCCCAATGTGAACAGGTGTTTACAGCTAAGGAGAGTCCATTTGGAAGTAAATAATTTTACAAGTTTTCAGGGCCATGTTTCAATCGAGTCTTTGAAACTTACCTGTTACATGGCCTCTCTTTTTCTCGTCTCTGTTCATGATTCACTCTTGTTGGATTTCTTGATTCAATAAGACCAGGCAACTAAAATAAAAATTTGCAGGAACATAGACTCAAACAACCAATTTGCAGGGGAGAGAAAGTAAAGAGGGAAAGTATGGAAGCGATAATGTACTACTAGTTTGTCCCTTCTTTCCTTTCATTTACTGGTTTGATGAGACCCCTTTGCCATACTACTCTCTCACTAACCAATTCACCTCTCCAAAAAATCAAAAAGGAAAAGCTGAGAGACTACCATACAAGGGTGACACCAAAAACTTCAAGGACCGTGAGATAAAAGGACAAAAAGTTGGACCGCCTCTATCCAATTCAAATAATGAAAAGTAAAAACGAAACAATGAGAGATATATGAATCTTATGGAGGGAAAGAATGCACAGATAAGAATAAAAAACAGTTAGGAACTATGTAGAATTTATCTCAAAACAGAAATAATATATCTCAAAGAATTACAGTAACCAATTTACTTTACGCATGAACATAATATATGAGTAAAACGAATTCTTACTTTGAAGGGATTCTGAGAAAAAAATGATCAGTCTTGCTTAGCTGATTTTTATCTTCAATTCAAAAGAAACTATAAGAAAATACCAAACCCAAAGGCATGAAGATGGCTGATTGTAGATGCTTTGAGACCAAAGAAAGCAAAAAATAGCAAGCACAAGACAAGCACTGACCAAATAGATCCCGGGAAAATTTGTCATGAGAATCTTGGAGGACTTTTACACTCTAAGAGAAGCAAGTTAAGAGAGTTCTATGTTTTTCACACCATCAAAACCTTCTTCCTAACCCCCTTTATATATTTTGATTCTCAACAAGAGAGAGAAGTGCATAACCACAGAGCGAGCTAAATTGCAAGTGAGGTAGACATACAACCCTCCGGCCAGGCACCTAAAAAGAGTAGGCGGGGTCTTTCTAACCATTCCGAAGAACCAAGACCTCAGAAAGGAAAAAAGGAACCTGTGATTTGACCTACATGAATCAGTTCGGAGAAGTAAGGTAGCCATAGGGCTGCCAAGCCTTGCCCGTAAGTAGGCAAAGGGAAGTGAGCGGGTTGCCATCCCAGAAAATAGGTGATCATTGAACCAAGTTTTATCCAAAAGCAGTTTTAGAAAACAGTGAATTATTTATAATATTACATTGCAAAAAACTTATTTTTAAATGGTTTACGATGTTAGACTCTCATGGGATTCCTCCCATGAGAGAAGCATGACAACTTGAGACTAGAGAGAGACTAAAACCATCATTATCATACATTACAGCTAGAAATCATAATTAAGGATGGGAGCAGAGAGAATAACGATTAGGGTTGAAAGGTAGAGAGAAAAATGGAAGAGAGAGAGCGTCGAGAGAAAGATAGAGATTTGCATTGTTACAGTTTCTTTTGTGAGGGTGGAGGGAGGCATCAAGCCCCTCTAACGTGCGGCTACCTTGCAAGAAAGATTGGAGCCACGTCGTTTGAACTTGGAGTTCAGGGGCAATCGAATTCCACTCTTCTCAGTTTTTGAGAGCTGGAAGTTCCAGGCCCTTGGAACACTATAACACTTCTCATTCTCAAACACGGAAGTGCTACAGTAAATTGGGACTTAAGGCTTATCAAGCCCACCCTAAAATAAGACCTTAGACTAAAATGTACACACATACAGGTTGAGCGTCTGCCGAATGGGGCCACATGTTGAAAAGTTCTATTTGTTGGGCATTCTCCTATGTACAAAAATGACTTGACACCTTGTTATTTGCAAATGACTTGACACCTTCTTATTCGCTACATCTAGTTTTTCTTGCCTACTTAGCTCCATGCTAGAGAAACCAAAGACATCTTATGAAAGGATGGAGGAGAGAGTGCAGAAGGACTGTGAAAAAATAGAGCGAAAACATTATTATTCAAGATTGTACAAACATGGATGACTTGTGAGCTACATATGCAATACACTGTGAGACAGCAAACCAATCATACACCCTGAGGCAGCAAACCAATGATACAGGAGACCATTGATAATGTGTAGACAACTAATTTACAACAAAAATAATAAGAACTACATACAAATGGAAACGGCACCTCATTACAGGTTTTTTTTAAAAGCAGGTTGTAGCATTTAATAGGCGAATTGGCATATGAGACATTTGTTACACCAAACTTGAGGGGAGGCTTTGTGAGAGGATGTCCAAGTTAAAGCACTAAAGTTTTGTGAGCCAAGGTATTACTTTCCATTTGGTTTCATAAAGGATTGTGTTAGTATTATGTATATGCAAAATGACATTGTTTTTTATTTTTATTTTTATTTTTGAACATTAACATTTAGTAGTGGGTTAGCAATTTTTGAACCATTAGTTGATTTCAAAAGGGGTTAGCATTGGTAGGAATGGAAACAGAGACCGATTGCTGAGTCATAGGTGGTGCTACCACCTTGACGTCAACCCCATTCTTATATACGAAATGACATTGTTACTATTCAATGTTGTGCAATGCAAACATGGACCTTCAACATCTAAATGAATAGATGCAAAAACTTGTTGAAGATTTTCTCCTCTCTCCGCCATCATCCCCCAAAACTCCACCAAAATGACATAAAATTTGCTGAACTAGAGTCTTGAAGCTTAAGGTTTTAGATTTCAGTTAAGTTAAATTGTAAACTTGGAAAAGAATTTGGAATATATGAATCTAATTAACGTAACAAAAATCATTGCAACATATTTGAATTTTGAAGGACAATAACACAAATTAATCCTCCAATATTAATATAACTACAACATACAATCAATTTTCTCAACAAAAAAATAACTTGTATCAAGTTCCCAAATTGGAAGTTATCATATGTAATGCCAGGATTATGATTCCGAAAATAAGCAATTTAAAATAGCCAGGCAATATTTCACATTACACAAAAGCCTAGCGACAAATGGCCAAAGAAGATAATTCAAAATTCTAACAAAATATGCGCAAATTAGGACATATGATTACAAGTTCCTATGAGTGTTTATCATCATCTTTCATCATTATCATCATCCGGGCCATATTCCAAATATTTGGAGTCAGCTATCCTATATGCATTAATCATTTTACATTTTTTTGGCATAATGAGTGGATGAAGCAGATTTCTAATCTTGTTGAGAGGTTGCTTAGGACAAATTTTACCTAAATGTCATGGGAGAAACAAGTATAGCTATTGTACTACAGCAGTTTCAACTTTTAAGACAATATAAGTCATAGAACTAAAGAATGGCTTGAGTGACTACATGCTTAAGTAAAATAAAGTACTTCCTGAAAGTAAATAATTGTGTAAACAACATAATTTATCAAAGTGCATAAGCCAATTCAAGTACCTTGAGCGATTCCTCGAGATTCACATTTTGCAAAATTAGCTATTCCTCTAGCCACCTGACTTAAAACATCACTTTGCCCTGATCTAGCCATTTCCAAGAGTGCCTGAATAGCATTGGCTTCCTTTAACATAGTATGTAACCTTTCTGCAAACATAACATTGTGTTTAAAGCACATGTAGCTTTCAAGTTTGGCAAATCACAGAAGAAAACGAAATGATTCAACAAATTTAACCAAAGATGATTATATGCAACACTACATTATTTAGAGCCATCACACTCGATTAGTGAATGAAAAATCAAGTCTTGCTTCTGCAATCAATGTACACAGAGGAACTATGCCATATTTTTTGTTTTTAGTAATCTATGGCATCTATTCCTTTACAGAATAGAGGAAATACTATAATTAAAGGAATTCTCTAACTCCCAAAAAGAGAGAAAGGAATCCCAAACTATTTCTCAAATTTTAAGACCCTATGCAATGAGGACACATGTCTTCATGATTATAAGCGCATACAAACACAAGCACAAAGCAAGGGGAGCTAGATACGACACTCAAGTGAAAGCTTAGACACTAATGCTTGCCCTTTTTACTTGACATTTGAATCGTAAATTATTGCCTATCAATTAAAAACCCGCCTCCTTTCCCATCTATATGATATTCATGTTTCAGTTAGACCTTTTTGATGCAGTTATCCATGTCAAATGCTAACGCAGATATCTATGTCTTTAAAATCATCTAAAACCTAATATATTTTCTGAACGCACTATTTGCACGTAACTCAATTGAGGATACTATTGTTGTTTGATTTCCATGCCGAATTGAGATGGAGGCAGTTCATACCTACTATGATTGCACTTCGAGCTCTAGGTAAGCAACAAATACACCATCGTAACAGTATGAAAGGGTAAAAGTAACCATCAATATAAAGGATACACAATATTACAAGTGACAATTTATGATTATTGTCTCTCTTTTCTGTTTCTTTGGCTTTGATAATTGAGGATGCCTGTCTTTTCATAGAAATTACTCTCTCTCTCTCTCTCTCTCT